TTAGCAAGAGCATATTCTTCACTTAATAGAACGGATTTGGCTTATCTTTATTATTCTCGTTTAATCAATGATATGCTCTATAATTCAGACTTCGGCTTACAATGGTACGTTGAAGCATATGATTATTTAGCAACACATTTAGAAAAGAAATCTGATTGGAATATGAATTGGAATTTTGTTGAAATCATAATTATAATTTCTTTTGTTATTGTCATAATTGTTACATTATCTTCTATAATATTAGTTCGAAAATATTCTTGTAGAAATCATAAATATGATCAATCTCTCAATTGAAGTTAACAATGAGAGACACTTTCACAAAACTAAAAACAACTAACTTACATATCATAATAAATAATTGCTCAAATTTCTTGATTTACCATACATAACCCTAGTACTCCCAAACGAGGTCAAAAATGACCCCACTGTAGGAAAATGGAATTTAATAAAAATCCCGTAGTGTTTTTTTGGTTCAAACAATAATTAGCATTTTGCACGATTTGAAATTTCAAGCACAGCATTCAAAAGAGATTCATCTCTTCCTCTCTCCCTTAAATGCTAAATATTGTTTGAACCAAAAAAATATCACGGTATTTTTATTAAATTCCATTTTCCTACAGTGGAGTCATTTTTGACCACGCTTGGGAGTACTAGGGTTAATTTATTGATTCAACCAGCGAAACGGTACTGTTGGAAATTGCGCTAAACATTTTTGTTACGTCTATCATTTTTTTGTAGTTGAAAATAACAAAAACAAAATAAAGCGCGAAAGATGATTACAAAAGTGAGAACAAAATGAAATGATTAATCATTACTGAGTGTCTACCAACTTGTGTTTGCATGTGGCTTGTTTTGGCGATGATTTGTGTATGTTCATCAGTAGCAGCATTTGCTCCCTCTCTCACTATCAATAATTTCTTTCTTATAGATCGAGTGCCATCATGATAGCTGTCTTTGTATGAAAGGTCAAGAACATAAGAAGGGACAATATTTTTTACTGAACTTTGAAATTTTGGATCATACGAGAAATGGCGAATTTAGAGACCTGCAAAGTGGTTCCAGTCACATCAGGACCAATTTTCGATTTTTTTTACGAGATCGGGATCGGATCTTCAAACTTGCTAAACTGATTCCGATATATTTTCTTTTTAAGGACTAGACTATATATTGTCATACTTATTATTTTGTTCTAACTAAGGATCTACAAATTGACCCTTTTTTGTGATTGTGGTAAAAGTATAGATCTGCAAACTCATTTCTTTCGATCCTGGATCAGAACAGAACCGTCTTGAGAGTCCGTATAAGAATAGTACCTATAGTTCTGCACAGCGTAAATTTTGATACTATCAAAGTGACTCTTGAGGAAACACCAATTGAAGGCCACTCATTTAGATTTTGTATCTATACAAGAATTGTAAGCTCCGAGAGGATTTTTAAGTCATACAGCCAGAACCAAGAAAAATTTTGAGTTAGATAAAACAGATGGTTTTGTATTTCCCTAGTTCTGATGCATGCATATAAAGGTATGCTCATACTATTAATCTTTCAAAATCATCAATGTTAATTTTAGGGTGGTGTGGGTGTGAGGGTGAATCCTCTCTTGAACTACATCAATACACAACGATATCCATCAACACCCACATCCACACCCCGATATGTAGATTTTAGATATGAACTTGATTATTCTTCATAGTAAATGATAAGATAACAGCGAGCTTGTATAATATTGTAAAATTTTTATTTTCGAATAAAAAGACAATAATTCGATGTTTCGATAATCTATGTCATCATTTTCAAGATTTATTAAGACCTTAGGAAATTGTACATTTAGTAAAGAATCGAGTAGAAGAAGGAAACAAAAATAGAAGAAAAAGAGAGAAGCGAAAAAACGAAAGATACAATAACGAGCGAC